TGGGGATGGGGGTGGGAGGAGTATAGGAATAGAGTTATTAGTATTGACTTAAGGGGAAGTAGGATATATTAAAATAATAATAGATTAGTTATATGTATAACTGAGTTAATTATATTGAAATAATTTGAATTGTATAAATATGATTTTGTTTTGATTAATTGATGGCCTTGCCACCATGTAAAATAAAACCAATAAAAAAAGGTTGTAAAATCAGTTTGGTCATGTGACCGACCCATTTTATGACCGTCATGACTTATGACCATAATGGGCAGGCTCTATTACTGTCCTAAGCCAAGGGCTACCCGTACTTTGATATCCAGTGATATAAGAGAGTAGTTCTATGCCACTGCTATCCATAAAGACACCAGGTTAATGCACTCCCTGATTCTAAGTGCCTTGTCACTTAAAGAAACCATCTCTCTCTTTCTCCATCTGGTTGTTTCTCTGCCAGCTGGCCTACCATTCTCTTCCTCTCTCTGGGCTGTGCTTGTCAACTCTGAATCTAAATCTGTGATGGCTTCCCCCAACAAGGGAGAAAAGTCTGTAATTAATGCAGATGATAGCTGCTCTGGAAAATGCTCTGGAGAGGCTAACGTTTTGGAAAGCTGCTTGGCTGAGATGAGTGGCCTGGCACAGGAGACCTCCATTCAGCGGAAAGGGAGTAGTTAGCCCACACAGGAAGAGAATTCTAATTCCCTTATTCACTGGCCATGCCTAGTCCCAGCCAAAACTGCTTTCTCTTGGACCATGTCCAGAAGAGCTTAAATATTTACGACTGGGCTCCCAAATTCATGCAAGCTCAAGCATGCAGTTCTGTTGCTTCTAAAGTAGCCAGCTAGAACAGTGTTTTCAATCTTGGCAGCTAAGGTTGAAACATACCGATCTCGAATCTCCACTTCCCAACCCTCACCTTGTAGGATCTGATGAAACGTGCAAAGACTGGAAAGAAAACAGAGGGTGGTGTCGTCTTGGGGCTCTCGCCAAAATAGCGCACAACCGTGTTGTAGGCTTCCTGTCACAAAAGATAAGCAAGATGAATGAAACAGTAGCTTCTGCAGCCTTCAGGCTTGCTGTAGAAAGAGAAAACTACCAAGCTTAACTGCCAGTACTTTTAGGCTTGAGTGTCGAAACAACCATCTTTGCCTAAAGCACTACAAACTCAGAAATCCAATCTACACAACAGAACAGTGTTTTTCAACAGCTGTAAAGAAAAGGCATCCATTTCTCCACACAATCTGATCTTCTGGCACAAGAATATGAGCAGGGACAAGCACTCTCTGATGTCAGTCACACATCTCTGTTGTTGAATAAATATGGATTAGTCAAATCTCGCACTAAATGTATCTGCAAAATCACACATAGCAGGACTTTCCTACATGGTCTGGAGTGCAATCAGTATAGTAGTGGCCAAAATTGTGGAAACCTTTTAGGAAAAGTGTACAGAAATGCCACCTTTGGTTAAGTTTCCACCAATTTTTCTTCTAATTTGTTTATAACTGTAGCCTTGTTCACTTAATAATACTATTTTACATCGCTTTCTGGGCAACCAGTCAACTCTTTGCACCATTACTTTAATTTTATTATGTTTTACAAGCTCGCTAAATGAAAGAAGAAAAAAAAAACCAAACGACTTGATAGTGATCACATAACATACTGACAAATGTCCTCCTCTCAGCTTCAATACATGACATCAATAACTGAATTTTACTGTGATCTGATTGGCTCATTGCCAAAACAAGATGACACCTGATTGGCTCTCTAAACACTCATGCTCATTGGCTACAATCAGATGAAGGAAAGCTACCTGATATCAATCTAAGCAAGTTGTGCTTCCTTTTTCTAGTTATTTGGCTATAACTTTTCATAGAATACAGTACAGATAATTGAACAAACTATCTTGTATTATATTCTTGATTAAATTATCTTTCCATTGATATATAATTTTATGGTACTACTCCAAAAACAAGTGGTGTTATTAGCCATCAAACCTCAAAAATACACTTTTCCCAAAAAGGTTTCCACAATTTTGGCCACTACTGTATATGAAGTTCATATACCAACTTCATGCACTTGATTCCTTTAGTGGCACAGAGAAGCAAAGCTTTGGTTGCAAGCTCTTCTCGATTAATCCTTGTCATCCAGTTGCCCCTCCACTCACCTCTGCAGTCTTAGCATCTTTCTGGAGTCGGTCCAACTTCCCCTCACTGGCGATCAAGAAGTTACGCAGGATACTATGTTCGTGCAAACTGCACTCCCGCCGAATCAACTCCATGCCACGCCCTAGTTCCTTCACATCCAGCAGAACGTTCTCCAGAGATACTGTGGAGTAAGAGAAGTCACCAGATGGGCCTCAGGATAACTTCAGCTGGAGAATTTCAAAGGAGTTTATAGGCTTCACGGGGGACTAGGAAAGCATTTGGATTCTGTTCCAGGGATGGGCAGAAGGTGTATCAGGATCTACAGGCAGATCTTTGGGGAAATAAAATGGATACCCCTTCACCCCTAGCCCAAATTTGATTGACATACAGAATGTTTTGAATAACTTAGTGCAACATTCAAGCATAAAGTCAATTGTATTCTGATACTAAAAAAAAATCCTAGGATTAAAACTTGCTCAGAGGTACCTGGCACTTGTAGGTACGAGTCATGCCTTTTGTATTTAATTCTGGTTGATAACTCCCAGTCTGTGTTTAAGCTGTTCTGTTGTACACTGCTACACTAATTTATTAACAATGTAATAATAATAATAATAATAATAATAATAATAATAATAATAGTAGTAGTAGTAGTAGTAGTAGTAGTAGTAGTAGTAGTAGTAGTAGTAATAGTAATAGTAATAATTGGAAGGGACGTATCCTGCTGCTCAAAGAACTGGATTCCATTGTACTAGCTTTTGCAAAGCCACAAATCAACATAATTTGAGAAAATTATCTTTTAAGTATTTGGCTTAATCCTTTAATTCTTCTACATTTCTCCTTGATAATATCATTTCTTGTCTTCATCTCTTCCCATCTTCCTCTCCCACACTCAACATTCAACCTTCTCAAGATCAGTGATCTTCTCTTAGGTTACTCAGAAAAGAATCCTGTCCATCAACAAATAGACACAAACTAATTAAAAACAAGTGTGGATTCTGTATACAGTCTGTTCCCCAACCATCTCTCATTTCAGCTTATATACTGTAAATATGGCCTTTCTCACCCTGATGCCTTCAAATGTGCATTTCCCAGAACCCCCAGTTGGGGCACTGAGGCTTTCACAGGATGCCATGGACTGGCTCCAACCACTCGCAAAATTGCACAGGATGTTTGTCAGAGGAAGGGGGAGGCAACTATGAATCCCACACAATTTTTTGTTATAAACCTTGATGTGCTGGAGCCAGCTTATATCAGCTCACAAGAGCCAATTGTTAACTTTTCTGGAATTTTGCAAATCAGTTTAGAACAGAGCTGAGCTGCAATGCCTAACAAGTCAATCAGCTATTTGGTGGCTAGCAGTGAGCTGTGGCCATGGAGCTGAGTTGGTTGCTATACATTTATCAACATGCCACTGGTTATAAACCATTCAGAGACATCAAGGAAAAAGACAGAGAAGTAAAACTTTGGATCTTAGTGTCTCCTGAAATGAGCTGGGTGCACAAAACATGACTGACCTGGATATTGAAAGGCCAAGCACAATGTGTGAATCAGAACCCTAATTTTCACAGCAGAGTCAGGAACCTGGTTAGTTTTGAGTCACTTATCCGAGATAATTTATGTAAGGCAAACTCAGAAGAGAAGGCCTAAACACTTTCCTTCAGTCACTTGCACAGCAGCCCTGCACAAGAGGCGGTCATTCTCTTGTCACTCTGTTACTCTATCCTTCGAAATGCATTCCTTCTGTTCCACGTACCAGCTGTAAAAAGGCATCTCCAACCCAGTGGTGGGATTCAAATAGGTGAACAACCGGTTCTCTCTGTGATGCCGCTTCTGGAAGTCCATTTTGGGCTTGGGCAACAAAAAATTAGCTACCGGTTCTGCCGAAGTGGTGCGAACCGGCTGAATCCCACCACTGCTCCAACCTCATCAAAGTCATTTATATTATCATTTTCCTAGTGCTGCAAAAAAAAATGACAACAGCTAGCAATGCTGCACAACAAAGTCTGGGCCAGTGGCCAAGAAGGCAGCAGCCTTCATCATTGTGGCAGCTTCAGATTACTTTGAATGCTTCTGCATCACTCAATAAGTCATTTATACAAGAGAAGGGGCAGACTGTGTCAGTTGCGTCATCTGAATCCAGCAAATCAGTGGAAGACTGCTGAATCTTAAGAAGCCCAAAAGAGCTTTTTCTGTACATTAGCACAGCTGATCTCCAGGACACAAAAGCTGTGATTTATTGCAGCCATTCTCAAGCTGAGAGAGCAACAGCTGTCAGGAGACCCCTGACAGGATTGATCTGTCCCTATCCAGCAGTGGCAGGGAGCTCCTTAACCCTCCAGTTTTGAGGGTTTGATACCAATTCCCATCAGCTCCAGGAAGACTGCAAGAAAATATTGTTGCTCAACATGGCTTGGGGGGGGGTGTTCTCTAAGTTGTTTGAGTCTCAAGTCCACTTTTTAGTCTGAGCAACCTAGCCACAGGAAATTCAGTTTCCAATTATATTCCATGTATTTATATACCAGCACACCTATTAGTCTGCTTAGTGCCTGCTTTACTTTACCATTACCCTTTCTGGAAACAATCTGCATACTAACTGAAGTGTAGCAATATTTGCTCATACATTATGCTGTATATTATATCAGATTGGAGACAGTTTCCCTCTACAAGTCAGTTCATGATCCTTCTAGTACTCTTAAGTCAAAGCCAGAGGCTTGTACCTATGCAGAAAATGTTGTCTCTTTGAATTCCATACAATCTCCAGATAGAAATGCTGCTGGGTCTTATATATGAAGGAGAAGCTGGAGATAAAAGCACCTAATGGGGTCCTCACTAAGACCAGGATGAAACAAAGATGGCATTTATGGTTGTCATGGTTGAAGGGACCATCTACCTGCAGCTGCTTTTTCCACAAAGTGCAGTTCCTGCCAGAAGTTGCTCAACTCAGGATATTTCTCCTTCACCATCATGGCAATGAAATGTAGAAGAGTCAGCTTCCGGTCAGTTGACTTAGTGTCCAACAGCTTTCAGGACAGAAATGAGGAAGAACAGATGATCAAGACATCAGCATCAATGTGTGCAAACATTAGACCGGCAGGGAGTCTACATGCATGTGAATACAGACAATCCCATCTGTTCAGTTACACGTATGGACATTGACATGGGATGCCCTGGGGGAAATGCATTCACTCATTAGAATTCACAGGCACGGGTAGCATGAAAAGGTGCCCAGTGCTGTACATTGTGACAGCACATTCATTACTCATTTCCTTCTTCTTAGGGTATCTCTAACAAATCCAGCTGGCTACTTTTTTTTTTACAGACACATGGATCATACCGTATGACCCTTTTCCATGCTTCTTCCCTTACCAAGTCCAGACTCTGCAGCTTGAACCCGTAAACTGAGCCACGCTTGCTGCTGTTCATGTAGTTGCCAAGGGCCAAAATGATCTGTGGGGAAAGAAGAAGAGAAGAAGGGCAGTTGACCCAAGGTACAAGACAACATTCTAGCCAATGAAGCCCAGGGCACAGGGTGAATCTTCTCTGCCTCTGTAGAAACCACATTCCAACTTAAGAGCCTACAGCTCCTGAACTAATTGAAAGTAAGCCTTTCTTTGTTGCTATAGAAATGGCTAGTACACATTAAGTATGTAAAAGTAAAGTGGCTTTAATTTTATTATGATACTAGCTGTACCCGGCCACGCGTTGCTGTGGCTCAGTCTGGTTAAATGGAAAAGAAAGAAAAGAGAAAGCGCACGTTTGTAATATGTTTAATTTCACAATGCTTGTGGGTATACAATATTTTTTGTTGTTCCACTGTCTGTGCACGAATGGAACGCTATGGTAAACGACACAGCTCAATTCCAACGCAATGTCACACGAAATAATTAAATCAAAATGAAAATAAACCGAAATCTATGAAAATTCAATTTGACAGTGCAATCGGAAACATTGAAATGGAATCGTAAAATTGGAAATTTGGAAATCGTAAATGGATCGTAAATCAGAAACATTGAAATGGAATCGTAAAATCGTAGCGTGTGTTGCTTTTACGTCCAACAGATGGCGCTGTTTTTCAAAAAAAGCATGTTTTACCTGTCACAGGTGTGACATCTATATAATAGTAGGTATATAAAAACACACGCGTATTCGAATGCAACGTTATGTCAAAATTTCAAAGCAATCAGTGAAGAACTTTCGGAGATTTAAGATTTTGAACAAACGAACATTTACATTTTTATTTATATAGATTCCAATGTGCTAAAAAGAGTCAGAAGTCCATGCTTTTCTGTTTTTTCTTTTCCCCTTTCCCTTCCACTTTTTGCTTTCCCCCTCCCCCTCCCCCCACTTCCCACTATTTTCGTTTGTATTTTATACTTCGATACGTTTGATGAAATTGCAACCTTAAAAAAAGGAAAGAAAGTCTTTCACAGGCTCAGAGGCTCTCCTCATTTGGTTCATCCGGGTTGAATTTTGGCATTCAGAAATATGTATGAGAAGTAAATGGTGGTGATTGTGCTACAACTCTCCATTGTTAACTACGTTAATGCCAGCTGACTGACCTACCTCTAGCATTCGCTTGAGCTTCTGTGACGATTTGACAGATGCTGAGGCAGCGATAATGGCATTGAGTTGCTATAAGAGGGAAAAACCAAAAGAGCACAAAAGTATTATTCTTGGTTTAGCACCTGAATACTTCTTGTATTTTGTAGAGGAGCAAATTCCTTAGGAAGAGACAGCAATTTGAGCATGATTTAACCATCTGGTTTTTAATTGCTTTGAATGCTTCCCTTAGGAAAGGTCAATACAACTATTAAGAAGGAAGAATAATGAACCCTGTAAGCATATTAGCCTAGAGGAGAAAAGTTGATCATTTGGGAACACAGAATCCACACCAGAGTGGAACAAGATCTCTGAGTGCAGTCAAGAAAACATAAAGACTGAGTGAGTAGTATCGGTGGAACACCTACCCGGTGCAGATGCTTTCTTCATCCCTAACAACTATTCTGTTTGATCTCAAGGATAACGATTTTTCTCAGCCTTTCCTAAATCTAAAGTGAGAGCAAGTTGCACCTGAGGCAATAAAAAAAATGTAATCTATTCTAGGGCTATATCTGCTTGCTTGCATCCCCCCATTTTGCCAGGCAGCCCAGCTAGTAAACTACAGATTTTTCAAAAGGACATTCTATGTTATTCTATGAAATTCTACATTATAAGTACGTCATGATGTCATTATAGACACACAACTGGCTTCCTGGAGCAGAAGAAATAGAAAGATCAACATCGAGCACATCCTTTCCCATCCCATATGCACACTGACTTATAAAAGAGTCCCCCTCAAACGTAGTACCACTTAAGGCCACATCGCTGCAATTGCCCCAGCTCCAAAAATAACTTGTGTTACCGGCATGAGCATCTGGATGTTTTCACTGAAGTTGCCCAGGAAAGCCATAATGGCCATGCGCTGGGTCAGACGCTCCACTTTGCTGAAGTGCAGCATGAAGCGGTCCTCATCTGACAATTCCTCCACTGGCTTCCTCTCCTTCTCATACTGGCGCAGTAGCTTGACCTCATTCTCGGTTGGCAGAAAGCGCATGAGGCACTCCACAAAGTCCACTGGTAAGGTCTTCAGGTCAAACCTAAAAGAGGCCCCAGTGAAGAAAGTTCCTCTATCAGAGATGGAACATCTGGATACTGATGGGCAAAGGATGCAAGGGGAGATACTCTCTTTTCATTCAGTGATCCTCTCACCTAGGAATGAGCAACTTTGACCCACACAAGGCTTGCAGCCTAACTCCATGTGACCTGAAACTTAAGCCCTAGTTAGGAAAGAGTGATCTGCCTTTACCTTGACAGCCAGCTGTGTGAGGAAGAAGGGAGGAAAGTAGTTGATAAGGAAAAAAGGGTGTTTCAGAAAGAGAAAAGCACCCCACCTGTAATTTGCTTTGGGATTACCTGCTCTATCTCCTGCTTGACCTATTACTTGCATATCTCGTGGCCCCCTCCTGATTATGCCTGCAGAAATGCAATCCCAGACAGAGAAAAAAGGCTGCCTGCGCAAGAAGGAAAATCACAGGATGGGGAAAGGCGCACAGAGGGGGACTCACGTGTAGATGGCTTTGCAGATCTCCTCTGTGGTCCTGCCTGCCTTACGCAATGTGATGGCCAGGTTCTTTGCCCGGTTGGCCTCCAGCAGGGTCACTTTGTTGACTGATTTGTGTGAAGCCTTGTTTTTAGAGCAAAGGAGATCGATGGCAGGGCCCTGTGCCTTGGTCTTAAAGAGCTCCTCAAACTTGTCCAGATCGAGATCCTTGGGAAAAAAGGAAAGAGTGAGTTTTGGATTTTAATTGGTTTTTAGCAGGGGTAATTTTGTATATTGTTTTAACATGCTGTGAGCCGCCCTGAGTCCCATGGGGAGAAGGGCGGCATATAAATTTTGTAAAATAAAATAAATAAAATAAATAAATTATCTCGTCCACTTGGGGGTAGTAATTAAAACTGCTAACAGCTTGGTTTTTACTTCTTGGTGTTTTGCTGTTCTGGGCACATGCCGCATATTAAAACCATACAGTACAGGTAGTCCTCAACTTACAACAGTTCGCTTAGTGACCATTCAAAGTTACAATGGCACTGAAAAAAGTGACTTATGACCATTTTTCGTACTTACGACCATTGCAGCATCCCCCATGGTCACGTGATTTACATTTGGATGCTTGACAGCTGACTCACATTTATGAAAGTTGCAGTGTGCCAGGGTCACACTGTAGTCACCTTTTGCCACATTTTGACAAGCAAAGTCAATGGGGAAGCCACATTCACTTAACAACCATGTTATTAATTTAACAACTCCAGTGATTCACTTAACAACTATGGCAAGAAAAGTTGTTAAATGGGGCAAAATTCAGTTAACGAATTTCGCACTTACTAACATAAATTTCCAGGTCAATTGTGGTTGTAAGTTGAGGACTACCTGTATATTTTGGAAATCAAGGGCTCCAAAAGTACACTAGGCTGGGCAGTAGAAGTGGGTTCCATGTGGGTTCAAGGGTTAATATGAGTTTCAGTAGAAGAATCCTATTATCTGCTCCATTTGCAGGCACAATTGTGGCAGACAAATGTGAACGTTCAATACAATTCAAATCAAATGACATTTGTCTTTGCTGCTCCATTATTATTGCTAGCACACACTTTCTGCCAATAATACTTTTTGGCTATTTTCAATTTTCCTTCCTTTCTTCCTCCCTCCCTCCCTCATCTCACAAAAGAGACTCTAGGCCAGTGATGGCGAACCTTTTAGAGACCGTGTGCCCAAAAACTGGCCCCGCCCCTGCTCCACCCCTTGCTCCACCCCCACCCTGCTTGCTCACAGGGCCACTCACCGCCGCAAGGACCCGCCGCAGATCGCCCAGGCAGCCCAGCAGCGCCATGGCGGCCACGCTCTCTGCCCGTGCCCCGCAGCATCAACTGTGCACGATCAGGTGTGAGGGCAGAGTCTTGTCTGCGCTGCCTGGCTGCCATGTCCTTGGCTGTGCTGCTGCGCGTGGGCCACACTCGTGGGCGACTCTCCTCCAGGGGGGCTGCTGGTAAGGAGGGGGTCGCGGGGGGAGGCAAGGCTGGGGCAACAGCATGTGTGCCACAGAGAGGGCTCCGAGTGCCGCCTCTGGCACCCGTGCCATAGGTTCGCCACCACTGCTCTAGGCAACTTACAGCAATAAAAGTAATTATTTCCTGTCCTTCCATGTTCTTATTCTTGTTCTATTCTTCATATGCGTTATCTTCCCAATTCTACTTCTAATTCTACTACCAGTCAAACTGACTTTTCCTTCTCTCACTCAAACTGAAGAGCAGACTATTTATTTAAATCATAGCTTCAGTTCCATGACACCATTAACAGACAACAAAAACAACAGGATGTGAGCTAAGAAAGAAAATCAATTTTCAAATCTATGTACTTAAAATCTCAACTCATGCCAGCACTCACTTCTCTGTTTCCCTCACCTCCAAGATCTTTTCATCATCCAGCTCACTGAAGACCGTCCCACTGATCTGGTTGGGCTTCAATGCTGTCCAGTTAAAAACTGGCAAGCGAAATTTGGTCTTGATGGGCTTTTTGATCCGGATTGCTTGTTGCAGAACAGAGAGAGCAAGGCATTACTAGATCGTGTGGAAAATAGAAAGTACTCCTCAGCCTATTCCCAATAAGTCAGTTGGAGAAAGAAGTTTTAATTTTGGCAATTTTCTGTTTTGGTTCATTTTTCTTAGTTTCCCTTATACCAGGGGTAGGCAACATTGGCTCTTTTATGACTCGTGGACTTCAACTCCCAGAATTCCTGAGCCAGCCATGCTGAGGGGAAAGAGAGAGGTTTCCAAGCTGAGCCATGCTGAGCCATGCTGGCTCAGGAATTCTGGGAGTTGGTCCACGAGTCATAAAAGAGCCAAGGTTGCCTACCCCTGACCTATACCATAGTTTCTGAAGAATGGTATCTATGTGATTTGGACATGTCACCAAATCTTTTCCCTGAACTGTATGCAAGCACTGAGGGAATTCATTCATTGATCTGTAACAGGCATTCCATATGTGCAACACAACACTCGAGACAACTCCAACAGGCAGCGAAGAATTACAGTGTACCACTGTCGTTTTATTTTTGCAGCCCAGACATGGTATGCCTGATTTGTATTTCAAAAGAAACAGATGAATTTTCCTTTGGCTTATTTCCAAAGAAACAGGTTTAAGGCTGTATATCTGAAGCCAGAACCAAAATTAAACTATCTATTTTTAATGGGAACAAATTATTTTAGTTTCTGCCGTTCTTGTCCAATAAAATATGTCACTTTCCCAAGGACATTCAAACTATTAAAAATTCAAGGTTACAACAATGAAATGGGATGCCAAGAAAAATCATCCATACAAATGACATCAATTGCATTTTGGGGGAAGCATACATTTTTCTCAGTTATATTGCATAATTTACTCTCAAACAAGTTTCTAGTTGTTGATTTAATTTTATCAATTGTTTTTTTTGCTTTCTGTCATTTTTCTCAGACTTTCCAGTCTAAATTTATACCCATAAGAGCTAGAAACATGTATTTTTAAGTGGAAACTACATTATTACTTACATTATTTATCTTCAAATCCTGCCCCATTCAACTAGCATCAAGTATACAGCAACCCCCATGCTGTCTTACTATTCTGGTCTATTTGGGGGAATAGGGGTTGAGCCAGCGGTGGCGCAGTAGTTAGAATGCAGTATTGCAGGCAAACTCTGCCGACTGCCAGGAATTTGATCCTGAGCGGTTCAAGGTTGACTCAGCCTTCCACCCTTCTGAGATGGGTAAAATGAGGATCCAGTTTGTTGGGGGGCACGCTGTAAACCCCTTAGCCCCCCTTAGGGCTGTAAAGCACTATAAAGTAGTATATAAATCTAAGTGCTATCGCTATCTACCTGATAAGCCCATTGTGAGGATCACCGAAGGAGACATGCCAGGAAGCGGTGGAGCTGGTGGACACTTATCTACGAGAGAAGAAACAATAGATAAATAAATAAAACAAGGCACCCTCCTCATGGCAAGATGTTGGCTTGTCAGCTCCAGAACAAAGCCTACCTGGTAGTGGAGGAGGGGGTGGGGGAAGAGGTGGCGGAGGAGGTGGCGGAGGAGGGGCAGCCTCCACAGGAGGCAGGACAGGCAGGCAGAATTCATCCTCAGAGATGTCGCTGAAATTGATCTCTGCCTCTGGAGGTGGTGGCAGCGGCAAGTGGTCACTCCCCATTGGATGTGAGGTATAGTGATGTCGGAAGGCTTCTTCCTTTTCCTTGATAATTCTGCGCAATGTATGAACTTGGTGGCTGGCACTCTCGTAGGTCTCCTGTTCCAGATAGAGAGATACAGTCGAGGCTTTCTTATCTCTAAAAAAACCATTCCCCGTTTATCATCTCAGAGAATCCTTTTTTAAAAAAAACAATTTTATTTTATTAATTTTATCAAAGCATAAAATACAAGGGAAAAAAGTGTAGAAAACTAAAAGAAGAGGGGGGGGGAAAAGGGGGACGAGGGGGGATATGATAGCACTGTTCCAATATCTCAGGGGCTGCCACAAAGAAGAGGGAGTCAAGCTATTTTCCAAGGCGCCTGAAGGCAGGACAAGAAGCAACGGGTGGAAACTAACCAAGGAGAGAAGCAACCTAGAACTAATGAGAAACTTCCTGACAATTAGAACAATTAACCAGTGGAACAACCTGCCTCCAGAAGCGGTGAATGCTCCAACACTGGAAGTTTTTAAGAAGAGACTGGACAGCCATTTGTCTGAAATAGTGTAGGATTTCCTGCCTGAGCAGGGGGTTGGACTCGATGACCTCCAAGGACCCTTCCAACTTTATTATTATTATTAAAAGAAAAAAGAAAAAGGCACTGACTTCCGACTTTCTTTAGCACAGTAAAAGGTAACAACATTACAACCACAACTTTTGTGCTTTTACGCAATAGGTATACAAGCCATTTCTATAACCATAAGCCCATCTAGTTCACAAAAACAGAATCAAAGTTTCCTCTCTTTTTTCCTCATTGCAAGCACAAAATCCGGAAGCAATTTCAAAACAGAGATAAGAGTAAGTATATTCTCTTCTTTGGGTAAAGGAATCAATTTAACCATCTCTGCTTCTCTTTGCTATGGGGAATATCTCTTTTTTCTTTTAACCCTAAAGGAAAAAGATACTTTTTTTTTTTAGTTTTAGTAATTTACTAATTCTAGGGAGTGCTCAGGTATTTTATATATAAAGGAGAAGAGAGAAAACCCTTCATTTTATAACCAAAACCCAAAGTTATGGTTAGGATTAGGGTTTGGTTTATCATCTCAGGGAATCCTAATCCCAAAGGACCAATCAAATCAGATCTTCCCCAATTCAGGGACCTCCAGGTGAATTCGAGATTTGAGTGTTGCAATCCAACCCAGCTGGCAGATACAGAATGGGGAAGGTTGCAAGGGTCACTGTACGCTGAACTCTGGAATCACAAATATCTCCAACCATACTCTTCTGAGAATAAAGAATGAGTTACATAATTTAATTTCTTTCATAGGAAGAAAATATCTGTCTACGTGGAAAACAATGTGTGGGGAAATAAATTGTCAATACAAACCACACATTAGTTTAGCAGATGTGGGATGCCTATCCAGCTCAAGAGAAGAATGGAAATACGTTAACTCTTGCCCTACTGCAGTTTGAAACAGTGTGGTCCAGAAAAACATTGCTATTTGCTTCCGCTCGTTGCCTATATTGGGCAAATCAAATTAGGATGCTAGAAGATGCATTTTATCATAGGATATTTTAGGGGGGGGGAAATAGCTCACAAAGGTAGGAATTGTGCTTCATCTCTGTGACAAAGAATAACCTTGAAGAAACAAGTTCTTTCAAACTAGAAGAGTTCTTAATCGCAGGAAACCCTTCCATGTTAATCGCCAGGCAAGGAATTCTGCGGATTTCAGATTTTCAAATAGGGTTCAGAAGTTCTGCATGCCTTGAACCTGTCATATATCCCAAAAGCGCTTTTTCAAAAAGACTTTTGTTGGTCCAGAACTGAAGAAGCTTATTGGATGAGAAGTGAAATGTTTTCAAAGGAAAAAACCAACAAAAGTGCAGTTGCCTTTTGAAAAAAACACCTTTGGAACAACCATGACCTTGATGGTTGAGAATCTCCATAGATATTTGACCTGTTGGATGAAATTGTCACCCTATGATAACATCCATGAAAACTGATGCTTCCATTGATGCATGTTGTTCTCCTTTTTAGCCAGAAAGATCCACAGCAATAAGCAAGCATAGTAACTTATCAGTGACCAGCTTCCAGGAAAGTCTACATGAAACCATCACTTTAAATCAAAGTCACACCTCCATCCTCTGGAGAGCATCTTCAATTCCCTTTCTTTGATCTACGTACCTTGACAATCTCCAATTCCTTTTCCCGCTGTAATAGTTGTTTCTCCAACTCAGCAACCCGCATGATGTTCTCATTCTCCAGATCCAGCAGCTTTTCTGTCAACTGAATAACACAGAACAAGAATCACCAATTGGTCTTTCCTTTGAATCAAGACAACTCTGTTTTTATTGTTTGATAACTATACGTTCGATAACGCAATTTGTGAGGCCGACTCTCATAAATGAGGTAGTGAAACTGTCAAAAGGATTTTCTTTTGCAAAAAAACAAGTAATTGGTATTTTTAAAATAGTTAAAAACAAGTTTTAGCTTACCTGTATCTTCCCTTTGCATGGCTAGTCAGGAGATTTTAGACCTCAGACAATTTTATGGGACCTCCTATATTGAATGCACAAACTCCCTAATATAATTCCTGGCATCTCCAGGCAAGGCTAGAAAAATCTCTGTCTCACCTACAGGTAGTCTCGGCTTAGGACCACAATTGAGCCCAAAATTTCTGTTGCTTGGCAAGACATTTGTTAAGTGAATTTTGCCCCATTTTATGACCTTTCTTGCCACAGTTGTTAAGTGAATCACTGCAGTTGTTAAGTTAGTAACATAGCTGTTAAGTGAATCTGGCTTCCCTATTGACTTTGCTTGTCAGAAGTTTGCAAAAGGTGTGGACATTACTCCCAAGACACTGCAACCGTCATAAATATGAGTCAGTTGCCAAGCATCTGAATTTTGATCATGTGACCATGGGGATCGTAAGTGTGAAAAACGGTCATAAGTCATTTTTTTCAGTGATGTAACTTCAAACAGTCACTAAATGAACTGTTGTTAAGTGGAGGACTACCTGTACTTGAGTTAAGGTACACAATAGGTGGATCAGCTATTGAACACTTTACAATGAAAATCCCTGTGTTCTAAAAACTGGGTGAGCTTGTTACTAGCTTAAAAGAGGACAGATACATGTTTTTGCAACTGAATGGAGCTTCCCTTATTCGATGACATATTCTCCTTTACATTAAGAGTAAATAATAAGAAAGGGGAAGGACAATTTTTTAAAATAGTCTATGTAGTTCCCATAGGCAAAATGGATTCCAGGATTAGCTGCCCAACCAACAAGGCTTTTCCATGCTAAAGAAAAGGCTGTGCACTTACATGCGATAAGTGCTCTTCCAATTCTTCTACTTTCTCCAAAGCCACATTCTTGGTCTCAGCATCTTCTAGCAACCCACCTACATCAAACACATTGTCCAGGTAGGCCTGAATTTGTACTTGCAGCTTTTCACTTTCTGTGTGTCTGGACTTCTGTTGGAGAGAATGAAACAGTCTTAAAGGCCAGGGGCTCCTAGTGTTCTCCTGGATACCACCAGGTCCCCAGCAAGGCCAAAATAGAGCCCCTCTGAGCTACTCATGACTTCCTCAAAGATTTATCCCATAGACATGTTCTACCTCATCAGTCCAAGAGGCCCAAACTACTGGTAATGAAATTACTGTACAAAAATAAACCACTAAAGTATTCCATGATAAATATCAAGCCATCTGTGGAAAAAAATAGAAAAATTTAAAAATACAGATGTATGTTACTTTATCATGATTTTCTCTCACTCCCATCCTCATGCCTACAGAATTCTGGATCCGATTATTTGGTGAGATGATGGGTGTTTTGTTAGTAGTCTTTAAACCCCATCAGAGAACTATAATTTTCATGGATTTCTGGAAAGAAGGTTTAATTATTAATCAGCTTTGTTTCTATGATATAGACATGCTTTTGAATTAGGGAGAATTAGGGAGAATTTGAATTATGGAGAACATAACTTATTTGAAATTGGCAGATGAACCCTTGGGTCTAGACTTTAACTTTCATAGTGACACCTGGTATGGAATGGCCCCTTGTCCTAGGACTGACGTGGCTGAAAAGATGGAACCCACGGGTAGATTGGCGAGAAGGGAGCTTGAAATTCCCAAAGGAACAGAAAAGCAGAAAAGCCACAAGAGCAAAAAGGGGAAACCTGACCGAGAACTGGCGGCAGCCGCAAAAAGCGAGGGACTGAAAGACATACCCAGAGACTACCACGATTCAGTGAGAGGGGCTCAGATGAACTTCCCCCACACCGGCCCACAGACTGTGCTATTGAGATTGTCCCTGGAGCCAAACTCCCTAAGCCCAAGATATACTCTATGACTCCTAGGGAGCTAGACAAACTGTGGCAGTTTGTACATAAAAACCTAGCCTGGGGCTTCATACAGCCAGCAAGGGTCCCGGTGGCAGCCCTGATGCTGTTCCAGGAAAAGAGAGATGGGTCTCTTCATCTCTGTGTGGACTATAGAGGTCTTAATGCTGTGTGTATGGAAAATCTGTACCCCTTGCCCCTCATGAAGGACATGCTGGCTCACCTTTACAGAGGGAAAGTGTTTTCTAAACTGGACTTACGGGAGGCATATTACCGAGTCAGGATCAAAGAGGGAGATGAGTGGAAGATGACTTTTAACTGCCCACTATGTTATTTTCAATTTAAAGTGCTCCTTTGGGTTATAGGGAGCCCCTGCAGTGTTTATGCAACTGATAAATGAGGTGCTACATGAGCACCCATACAAAGGAGTTTGGTGTACCTGGACGATATCTTAATCTACATTTGAAATGAAAGCTGAGCCTGTGAAATTGGTCAAGGCAGTCTTAAAGAAACTCTGCACGGCTAAGCCGTATGCTAAGCTCTCAAAGTGCGAATTCCACAAAGAAAAAAATTGACTATTTAGGCTACCGGCTCTCACACAAGGGGGTAGAAATGGATACAGAAAAGATGAGTGCCGTTTTAAATTGGGACACACCACGCACAAAGAAGCAGCTGCACAGCTTCCTGGGCTTCGCCAATTTCTATAGAGAGTCCATCCCCTCGTTCGCACAAATTGCCCTGCCCATCACAAATTTGCTGAAAACCAAAGGGGCGAAACCCAGCCAGCTGCATTTGAAAAGTTAAAAAGACTTCTTTCCACGGAGCTGGTACTGAGACACCCAGACCCAGGGAGACCATTTGACATCCAGGACAACGCTAGCGGTGTGGCCATGGGTGCAGTACTGCTCCAAGAGAAAGAAAAAGGGCAGCTACAGCCCTGTGCTTACACATCTAAAAAATTAACTGAGACAAAACAACGCTGGGCGGTATGGGAGAAGGAGGCTTATGCTGTAAGATGGGCTCTCCCACATGGAGGCATTTTCTAGAAGGGAGTAACTGACCACAAAAACCTAGAAGCGCTGAAGACCCCGAGGAAGCTGTCCCCTATACATGCACGGTGGGCCCAACACTTCCAGCGCTTCAATTTTACCCTCCGCTATTTGCCTGGAGGAAAGAATTTTTTGGCAGATACCTTGTTGAGACTGCCACAGTACAACAGCGTAAAGACCGAAGTAATTAAGGCTATACTCCCAGCACCACAGCTAGCAGCACCAGTAATCACGAGAACACAGTAAAAAAGAGCCCCGTCCTTAGACATCATGGTCAACTCGGAGTTTAAATGAGCCTTAGAGAAAGATGATTAAACATTGTCAAATTTTAATACCACTTGAGATTTACGTTGCGATGGGATAAAATGATACCTGTAAGAACTCTTCCAAACCCAGCTTGGTGAACTCGTATTGTAAGTGCACTCGGAAGTTCATGTCCTCTACTGAATGGACCACAATGTTGATGAATTGCATACAGGCTACCTATAAAAGAGAGAAAAGGCAGCTGGAATTGGGACGCACAGATTCAGTTATTTACTCCCCCTTGGATTCTAGACCTCTTTTTTGAAAAGAAAAAAAAACAGAGCACTGGTTTTTTAAAATGCAACACATGCTATATAATTTCCAGATAGCCAAGTCCCACCATCCTTCCATGCACAGATTCCCTTGCTCCACGCAGAGAACCATGGATTAAACTTTTGCTGGAGAAGGAGAAGGGGGAAGAGGAAGTTTCAGGTTTCATTTACTGAGACCATCTTATCCAGGGGTAGTCAACCTTGGCTCTTTTATGACTCGTGGACTTCAACTCCCAGAATTCCTGAGCCAGCTAAGCTTGAATTGAATTGAAGTCCACGAGTCATAAAAGAGCCAAGGTTGACTACACCTGATTTAATCCATATTCTTTAGGGATTCCTTAGAGCAGAGTTCCCCAACTTTTTGGAGTTGGCGGCCCAGAGCGGGGGGGAGAGGGGAAAGCAGGGATGATTTTGTGGGGAGTGAACACATGCACGGGCGTGTGTGTGCATGAACACCCGTTGCTCGCTTGAGTGAGGCCATGAATGCCCGCGACACTCACGGAGATGCTCGTGCGAATGAGGCAGTGAGCCTGCATGCACAGGTACGCACGGGCCAACTACTCACATGGCCTGGTGGCCAATACGCCATGGTAATGGCCCTAGCCCACAGGCTGGGGACCCCTGCCTTAGAGTAAATTCTTCCTTGGGTTGATAAAGACTCCCTACTCCTACATTTTCACTGATAGATTTATCTGTCTAGGATTTTACATAGAAACCTTTCCCAATCTTGCCTAAGATGATCAATGACTTTCTGAATCCAAATATATGCTCCATCACTGACTTATGGTCTCTTGCATGGGTGAATCCATGATAGCATAGTTGGGGACAGCAGAAGTCCTACATTATCCATGGAATACAGTTAGTCCTCAATTTACAACCGCAATAGGGATTGGAAAATTTATCATTAAGGTGTGTGGTCATTAAGTGAGACATCATGTGACCACAACTTGCAAGCTTCCCTGCCACCTTCCCCATTGACTTTGCTTGGTCACACATGGTGATCACGTGTCTGAAGGATATTGCAACCATTGTAAATGCATGATGGCTGCCAGAATCATGATCTTATGAGTGGAAATACTGCAACGTTGTGAGAGGACCAGTTGTAAGTCACTCTTGCAGGGGCATTAAAACTTTGAACAGTCGCTAAACGAATGGTTCTACGTTGAGTACAATTGATCATCAAGACAGATAACATATATCCAATGTGTCACTTTGTTTCCTCCCAGCATTGGGCTAAATGAGCTGCTGGTATACACAATTTCAAAGCAAATTCATTCTTGCATATTTTTTTTTAACTACTTACCATGAAGTCAATATTGCTATCCTCATTACGGAAATATTCCATCAGTTTCTCAAAGCGATGCTGCTCTTTGCATACCTAAGAAAAGAGAGCACATCCGGATCATAAACATGTTGCAGTCCTGATCAGCCTGCTAAATACAGATCATTCCACTGATACTGACACATGTGCTCCTCCACATAGCTGCGCAGTGGTTACTTTCATGTACATTCCCAGAGTAATTTCTTTCTTTGGTCACATACCCAGAGAAAGAGAGTTTTGTTATCAGTAGATGGTACAAGAGGGCAAGTACTGTGTTTGAATTATCCCCACAGAAACACAGGTATGCTCCTTGTCTTTTGAGTCACACCTTGAGGGCCTACTGGTTTTTCTTTAATCATTTCAGGCTGTGTTCATTTTATACTTTTCTTTATTAGATCAAGCTTTGACAGGACTGGCAGCCAACTGGAACATCTAATGAACACGTGATCTAATGAACACGTGATTCAATTTCTCAGAGAGAAATTGAAAGACAAAAAGCACAAGTATAAAAAGTGGGAAAAGGGGCACATAACCAAGGCAGAATATCAGCAAATAGTCCGAGCCTGTAAAGATGAAGTAAGGAAAGCTAAGGCTCAAAATGAACTAAGGCTTGTCACAAAAATCAAAAATAACAAAAAAGCTTCTTTCAACATGTAAGAAACAAGAAAAAAGTTAAAGAAATGATTGGTCTATTAGTGGGAGAAAGTGGCAAGAAGGTGACAAGCAACAGGGAGAAAGCAGAACTATTTAACTTGTTTTTTGCATCCATCTTTACACAAAGGGAAAAAACAGTCCAACCTATCAGAAACAGTACCATAGAAAACAGATTTGAAACACAAGCTAAAATAGGCAAGAAAATGGTAAGTGAGCACCAGTCTACTCTAGATGAGTTCAAATCACCAGGACCAGATGGATTATACCCCAAGGTTCTGAAGGACCTGGCAGATGTGATCTCAGAACCACTTTCAAAGATCCTGGAGCATTGGGGAACTACCAGAGGACTGGAAATGAGCTGATGTAATTTCTGTTTTCAAAAAAGGGGAAAAAATGGATCCAGGAAACTACGGACCTATCAGCCTGACCTGAATACCTGGGAAGATTCTGGAAAAGATACCGAATCAAGCAACAAATCAGCAAACACCTAGAGGCAAACAAAGTCATAACCAAAAGCCAACATGGGTTTGTCAAAAATAGATCATGCCAGACAAATCTTATTGCATTCTTTGACCAGAGGACCAGAGGAATGCTGTATATAATTTACTTGGACTTCAGTAAGGCATTTGATAAAGTAGACCACAACCTACTACTTGATAAGATAGAAAAATGTGGGTTAGATAGCATCACCACCAGATGGATTTGTAGCTGGCTGACCGGCCGTACTCAGTATGTGGTCCTCAATGGAACTGCATCTACAAGGAGGGAAGTGTATAGTGGGGTGGCCCAGGGCTCTGTTTTGGGCCCAGTGCTCTTCATCATCTTCATCAATGATTTGGATGAGGGGACAGATGGGGAACTCATTAAATTTGCAGACAACACCAAGCTGGCAGGAATAGCCAATACTCCAGAAGATAGGCTCAAGATACAGAAGGATCTTGACAGACTTGAATACTGGGCGCTATCTAACAAAATGAAATTCAATTCTGAAAAAAGTAAGGTTCTACACTTAGACAAGAAAAACCAAATGCACAGTACAGGGGGTATCTTGCTCAATAGTAGTGAGAGGGATCATGGAGTCCTAGTGGACAGTTACTTAAATATGACCTAGCTCTGTGCTGCAGCTGCCAAAAAAGCCAACAGAATGCTAGGCTGCATAAACATAGATTCAAGGTCACGTGAAGTATTAATACCACTTTATAATGCCTTGGTAAGGCCAGACTTGGAATACTGCATTCAGTTTTGGTCAGCATGATGTAAAAAAGATGTTGAGACTCTAGAAAGGGTACAGAGAAGAGCAACAAAGATGATTAGGGAATTGGAGGCTAAAACATATAAAGAACAGTTGCTGGAATTGGGTTTGTCTAGTTTAATGAAGAGAAGGACGAGGGGGGACACGATAGCAGTGCTCCAATATCTCAGGGGCTGCCACAATGCACCTGAAAGCAGGACAAGAAGCAATGGATAGAAACTAATCAAGGAGAGAAGCAACCTAGAGAAATTTCCTGACAGTTAGAACAATTAATCAGTGGAACAACCTGCCTCCAGAAGTTGTGAATGCTCCAACACTGTCTGAAATGGTGTAGGGTTTCCTGCCTGAACAGGGGGTTGGACTAGAAGACCTCCAAGTCCCTTCCAACTCTATTATTATTACTGTTATTATTATATCAGTTTTTCTCTATTTTCCTCCCTCCCCGTTTGTATCTGTCTCTGGGTGGTGATCAAAGTCCTTTCATCTAACCATTGTTTCCATCTGCTTCCTTATTATTTGCATACCCTTCCTCAATCTGGTGATCCAGATACGTTGGACTTCAAAACCTACAATCCCCTGGATCTTCAGAGTTTGATACCTATCCTTTTAAATAGATAATAAAAGCAATCTCACCTCCTTGAAGTTCTCAAAGGCAGCCAAAATGATCTCATGGCCACCTCGCACAAGACACACAGCAGCCAGCAATTCTAATACCAGGGCTTTTGTCCTAGGGAGAGAAAGGAGACACACAACTGATGGACAAGCAACTAGGAAAAAAATCATGGAAGCCACAATGGAGAAATGGCTGGTGAGGATGATGGAACTTGCAGAGATGGCTAAAATAACCTGTTTGAATAGAGAAGAAACAATATCCTTATTTATGGTTGACTGGAAACTCCTATCAGACTTTTTGCATAAAACGGAAAAAATGGACTTATAATTGGTGGTTTTAATAGTTATAAAAAAACCCATAATAGAAAAGAGTGAGTTTCTTTTGTAAACAATGTAAGAGATAATTTTGTAATTGCACTTATATTTACTGCAAAGAAAACTGGAAGATCCTTCTGTTTCTTTTGATTCTTTCTACGCTTTTTCTTTTTTCTTTTTCTTTCTTTCTTTATAGCTTTTACTCTTTATTGGTTTGTGTTAGTTTTTATGTTTTTTGTAAAACATTCAATAAAAATTTACAAAAAGAAGGAAGGAAGGAAGGAAGGAAGGAAGGAAGGAAGGAAGGAAGGAAGGAAGGAAGGAAGGAAGGAAGGAAGGAAGGAAGGAAGGAAAATTCATCTGGAAAGAGTAGTGTTGTTATTGTGTTTGTACACATAGCACTAGCCCTAATGTGGAACTAATTAGGCCTTTCCTGTCAGCTTTGGTTATTGGTCCTGGGAATATCACAATGTGAGAGTAGTCTCCATCTGCTGCTCAGCATCTGATAGTTCCTATTAAAAAAAATACCTTCCCCATTTGCAATTATGTCATTGTTGAAATTGCTCTTTAAAATCAAAAGACATTTCACCATACACTAAATCTGATCATTACTCCATGTAACTCAAAGTCTGGCTCTCCCCTTAAAAGTTTCAGAACCATGAGCTGCATAGAGAGGATCTTTTATATGCAAAGTACATGTTCCATCATTGAATTGTTTCCCCTAATATATCTCAAACAAAACCTAGAAGGTATTGTAAACATTGAAGCCAGATTCCTATAAGCATCATAGTATATAGTAGATCCACATACTGAAGTATAGCACATGTTTTGCAGTGCAAAGAAAAATAAAAACCCTACACATATTCAGTTCTTTGCATATCTAAATAGGGATAGGAAAGAATTATTTTTGAAACCTAGGGGACCTAGTGTCAGATATATAGATACTAGTGGTCTGATTTCTTACAAGGAAGACTATTATGGCATATTCGGTGGAGTCCAGTGAATTAGTTCAGCTAGATCTCTTTTATTAGGAAAAAAAACCCCCCAACTTTGGTGGAATGAAGTGCAGAATTACTACCTGTCTACTAGTGGTCTCCCAAATCAGGAGATTAATAAATGGCAAAACCAGATCCATCAGATGATTTTTACATTTGCTTATTTTATTTTATTTTTTTTTCAATCTACATGGCTGCCCATCACACGGGTGATTAAGAAGAGTTAGAAAATAAAACCAACAACAAAATAAAATATGTAGTTGTCAACCAAGGTAAAAACCAATAAACAACAATTAAAATAACCATCACATGGACTCTGACAATCTGAGTCTCACGCCTGGGCACACAATCATGTCTTCAGGCCCTTGTGAAAGACCAGCAGAATCAGAGCCATCTAATCTCTGGAAGGAGCATGTTCCAAAGGGTGGGTGCCATGACAGAAAAGACTCATTTCCTGGGTCCCCAAGACGATATTCCTTAAGTGGCAGGAACCATGTCTCCTACCAGATCTAATGGGTGGAAGTGTTTTGGGGGAGGGGGGTCCCAACAAATCAACCAGTCCCATGCCATTATCTAATTTCAGAGGATTAAGAGAGGAATTAATTACAAGATATAAAATTGTGTCATCTGTGCAGAAAGAAAAAAAAAAAGATCCTGAGCTGTAGAGAAACTATAGTTATGGTTAACATTATAAATATTTTATAGAACATATTCAAAAGATGCCAGAAATATGACTTGCTCACATGCCTGCTATTCTCCATATGTGCATCCAACCATCATTTAATGCCAAGTGTTAAGGAATATGCACTAAACTGATTTAAGATATGAACAAGTAACTTTGCTGGGGAGTTTAGGTAACCAATGAATTCACATTAACAACACAGCCAGGCAGTATTTCTGGCTGATACAGAGCTTTCAGTAAGACCAAACAATACTGAAATACTGCAAAACAAATGCACATCTGCTTTACCAATTAACATATGTTTGAAATCAGATTTACTAGCTGGCGATAGGCCACATTACAGTATTGTTTAGTTTTTCAGAGTTGAAAGCAGTTTGAAAAATGTACCACTGCTGAAAAGGAAAAAGTCATCATACTGTTACTCTTACTAAAAAGATATTACAAACGATTGTGATATTTCACAAACCTGCTGTCAACTTCTGAAACGAACCTGGCTGAAGCCATCTTTGTCATTCTCAGTTGCTACACAGATTGGGAGGAAGGGGGAGGGGGAAGAAACTGAAAGGATTGCTAGACTAAACACAGAGCAATCCCCTGGGAACCAAAGTCATTCCCACTGGTGCTGGAAAGTGTCATGGAGCCCACCAATTTCTCTCATTGGGTGGCATGATCAACAGCATGGTAGGGGGAGGGAAGTGTTACATTTAGTTACATTGAATTCCTGGAGGAAAAGTTAGAGTTGGTTTCACTTTTGACCGTGCCGATATTATGTATACAATAAACATGTTCTTTGAGGAAACTTCAAGCCTTGAGTTCTGATTTGTTTGGGTCCATTAGTCGGAACCATGACATTGAACCAACTTTCCAAATTTGTTTTTCTGCTCTGAGATAGAAAGCTATCAAAGAGCTCTCTTTGGGGTCCTGAGCCCTGGCCACCTACCCAATTCTTTTGGGAGGATGGTAAAGACTCAGTGAAGATTCCAGGATGGAGAAGAAATGGGAAGCGACTACTAACCCCAGAGCAACACCTGCAGATGGGACATGGACAACTGCCTAGACTAGGGATGGAATTCCACTGATGGGGGCTCAGCCGAACGTTTATGCAGACAAATCTGACAGGCCAGTGGTGCGGGAAGAAGTTCTACCCGTTGGGGATCAATACCGAGCAGAGGAAGATTTCCAGCGCAAGAGTACCCCCAAGGCTGCCGAGGCTGAGTTCGCCTTGATCTTATCCTACAGCTTTCTATAATTCACACTAAAATGGAAAGTAAAGAGAGCAGCAGGATGGGATGAGTCAGGGGAATGGATGTACCTGGCAGCAGTCCATGGGCAATCAGCCGAAAGACCGAAGGAGAAGTTCAACCAAATGGAAATCAGAGAAGTGACCCCAGTTGCGAGGTACGAGGTCTCAGCTAGGGCCGAGACTAGGATGGATCCTTGTTGGGACCCCATACCAAAGAAAAACAAGAAAGTCCAGTTGCCTCATGAAAAAAAGCACCTTTGGTATAATCATAAGATTAGGAGGGGGCCCGCTTCTCACTACGCATAATGGTCAGGAGAGGAAAGCCACCTCCACTGAATCAGAAAGTGAGCCAACTGAGCCTTTGAAACTTGCATCAGAGCAGTTGCCAGGGGTCCAACTCATTCCCAAAGAATACTGAGATCTGGCCGAGGTGTTCAGTGAGAAGGAGTGTGATGTGCTTCCCCCTCACTAACTGTGCAATAGAGATCTTGCTGGGAGCAAAACTCCCTAAGCCAAAAATGTATTCCATGCCCCCCAGGGAGATGAATGAACTAAGAGAATACATTGACAAAAACCTGGCTATGGGCTTCATCCAGCCAGCAAAATCACATGTAGCTGCCTCTGTGCTGTTCAAAGAAAAGAAAGATGGAACGTTGAGATTGTGCATGGATTTCAAGGGCTTAAATGCTGTCAGTGTGGAAAACATGTATCCACTCCCCTTTATGAAAGACATGTTAGCTCACATGGCTAAAGGGAAATTTTTCACCAAGTTGGACCTGCAGGAAGCTTACTACTGAGTGAGAAGTAAGAGTAAGATGAATGGAAAACCGTCTTTAATTGCCTGCTGTGGAGTTCCCAATTCAATGTGATGACATTTGGCCTCCAGGGGGCTCCTGCCATGTTTATGCAGTTGATCAATGAGGTGTTACATGACCATCTATACAAAGGGGTCCTAGTTTATCTTGACGACATCCTCATCTTTACAGAAATGATGGAGGAACATGTCAAAGTGGTTCGCAAAGTGCTCAAAAAATTATTAAAGGTGAACCTTTATACTAAACTATCCAAATGTAAGTTCCACCAAATCCACCTTGACTATCTAGCATACTGAATCTCAAATGAAGGGGTGGAGATGGACCCAGACAAAGTCAAAGCCATTCTAGAATGGCAACCCCCTCAGACTCGCAAGCAACTACAGAGCTTTTGGGTGTTTGCTAACTTTTACCAGCAGTTCATTGCCTCCTTTGCAAAAATAGCCTTACTGATTACTGAACTGTTAAAAACAAAGGGGGGAGGCAAAACCCAGTCAACTTTTAAGATGGACTATGGAATGCCAAGCAGCGTTCAAACAACTTAAAACATTGTTCGCAGGGAAGCCAGTCTTCAAACACCCTGACCCTGAGGAACAGTTTATCATCCAAGCAGATGCCAGTGATGTTACGGTGGGTGCAGTTCTCCTTCAAAAAAACAGCAAGGGAGTCCTACAACCATGCACGTACACCTCCAGAAAACTCACCGACACAAAGCAGCGATGGGCAGTATGGGAGAAGGAAGCGTTTGCTGTTCGATGGGCATTGCTAACCTGGCGTCATTTCCTAGAGGAGAATAAGATTCCATTTGAAGTGTGGACTGACCATAAAACCTTAAGGCACTCAGAACCCCATGGAAATTTATCTCCCAAGCAGGTTCAGTGGGTGCAATATTTCAATCGTTTCAACTTCTCTTTAAAGTACATTCCTGGAGGGAAGAACTTCCTAGCTGACGAGTTATCCAGAATGGCAAGAGCAATCGTGAGGAAGTGGTCAATGCTATCATACCTTTGCCACAAAAGGCCTCTCAGGTGACCACTAGACACCAAGCCTGAAAGCAATCCACCAGCCCTGGCAGCAGCCTGATCCAGAAACTTAAGGTTGAGCTGAAAGAGGACCCCTGGTTCAAAGACAACAGACAAGTGTTGATATATAGAGATGAACTAGCCTGGAAAAGCTCCAAGTTATATCTTCCTAGCACCCTCAGGGTCCAAGCCCTGCAACAAAGCTATGATGCCAAGCAAGCAGGTCACTTTGGATTTTTAAAGACTTTACACTTGGTAAGGCGGCAGTTCTGGTGGCCAGGGATGAAAAAGGACATTGAAAACTATGTTAAGAGCTGTGCAATCTCGGCAGCTATGAAAAAAAGACCTGGGAAGCCCCCTGGATTGTTACAACAAGTAGCAGACCCATCCCAACCATGGGAGGAAATCGCAATGGACTTCATTGTAGATCTCCCTGAAAATAGTGGAAATACAGTAATCTGGACTGTTATTTCTCAAAGCAGGCTCATTTTATAGCATGTCCTGGTCTCCCTTCCGCCCAGAGGCTGGCAAAGCTATTTTTAAACCACCACAGGGTTATATTGAACCAAGGGGTTCAGTTCACAGCAAAATTTTGGATGGAGTTTGTGAAACTGATTGGATCCACCCAGGGACTCAGCTCGGTTTTTCATCCGAGTACAAATGGAGTTGCTGAATGAGAGAATGCATGGAACAATACTTGAGATGCTAGGTTAACTATCAGCAAACTAATTGGGCAGACCTGCCTTTTGCTGAACTGGCATACAACAATACTGTACACAGCAGTACTGGACTTACTCCTTTTAAGATAGCTACTGGCAGGGAATTCGTTCCTATGCCTGAATATCCCCAAGATCCCCCTCCTCACAAACCGAGTGGGTGAGCTCATTGCAAAACGCTTGGGCTAATGTCACATGAGCCTTAGCTAAAGCAATCAAGATTCAAAAGGAATAAACTGATAAAAGGCGATCCCCCCCAGAAACCATTTCATATAGGAGAGAAAGTCTATCTCTCAACCAAATACCTAAGATTAAAATTACCATGTAAAAAACTGGGACCTAAATTCATCAGTTCTTTTCCCATCGTAAAAATCATACGCCCTGTCATGGTAGAGCTAAAACTCCTACGAATCTTGGGGAAGATACATCCAGTTTTTCATTGGAGTTTGTTGAAAAGAGTTATAGAATCAACATTGAGACCAGTACCCCAAATAGCTCCAAGTCCTATTATGGTGGAGGGTGACACCCATTATGAAATAAAATGGATTCTCGATTCTAGACTGTATAAAGGGAAATGATAGTACCTAGTTAAATGGAAGGGTTACCCTTTGTCAGAGGCTACCTGGGTAAAGAGCAGAGATGTAAAGGCAGATTAATCCAGAAATTTCATGATGAACATCCCCAAAAGCCTAGGGAAACTTCAGGCGACAGAGATGAAAATTAGTATCACATTAATATGTATCTATTCTTGTTATTTTCCAAGAACTTCTTTCTCTTTAGGGGAGTCCAACTGTCAACTTTTGAAACAAACCTGGCTGAAACCATCTTTGTTGTTCTTAGTTGCCACACAGATTGGGAGAAAGGGGGGAGGGAGAAACCAAAAGGATTGCTAGACTAAACACAGAGCGATCCCCTGGGAATCAAGGTCATTCCAACTGGTCCTGGAAGGTGGAGAGAAGAATTGTCGCGGAGCCCACCAATTGCCCTCATTGGGTGGCATGATCAACAGCATGGTAGGGGGAGGGAAGTGTTACATTTAGTTACATTGAATTCCTGGGGGAAAAGCAAAGAGTTGGTTTCACTTTTGACCATGCCGATACAGGTAGTCCTCGAGTTAGGAGCATAATGGAGCCTGCCCTTTGTAACTCGAAAAATTGTGGGAGTGAATCTCGTACCTCAAATGAGATCACTCCCTTGCTTGTTAAGTGAAGATGAGGTATCTCAGGGTGGGAAAGGCCATGGAGGGCCTAGTAATGGAACAGGCCCCCAAGGCCTTCCTTACTCACTAAGATACCTCATACTCCCCCCTCCCTTCCCACCATGCCGGACTCACCTTGAAAAGATCCGTCTCTTCTCTGCCACGGTTCCTGCTGCCGCCCAGTTCTGAGGCCGGGAGATGCTTCCGTGTGCCTCCGGGGGCTGGATCAGGGTACTGGAGGCCTTCTCCAGGCCACTGCCGCCTGAGATCGGGGGATGCTTCTGTGGCCCTCTGGCAACCCGTTTCTGCACGGCAGTGGCCTGGAGAAGGCCTCCAGCACCCATATCAGGCCACCAGAGGGCCACAGAAGCGTCCCCTGGCCTCAGATCCGAGCAGCAGCAGCCTGGAAAAGGCCTCTGATGCCCCGATCCGATCTCCGGAGGCACGTGGAAGCATCCCCCAGCTTTGGTTCCATTCTCTGTTGCATAGAACAGAGGCCTAAGGTACCATGAGATCACGTGAGATCAGTAGCGTGAGATCTCACATGATCTTGTGTTACTTTAGGCCTCCATTCTCTGCAAACGCATCGAAGACCTCGAGCAGCCAAGAAAGCGAAGGATCTTGATCTTCGCAGGGTGATTATTGAAAGCCTGACGCCTAGGGAGACCCGGGGCGGGGGTGGGGAGGAAGGGAATAATCAGGGTGAATGTTGCAGAGCCTCTGCAGTCACTCGTAAGGACAAACGACTGCCGTAGTGATGCAATATTTGTAATTTTGGGTCTTGCTCCTAAGCACTAGGGGCCCTTATCATGTAACTTCGAACAAACATTAAGTGAACACTCGTAACTCGGGGATTACCTATATTATGTATCCAATAAACATTTTTTTTGAGGAAACATCAGGCTTTGGAATTCTGATTTGTTTGGGTCCATTAATCGGAACCTTGACACCTGCTCACTCTGCTTGATTAGCAGGAATAGTAAGTCAAAAGAAAGATTTGTTTGGCCTCACACTATGGGACACAATACTTCTATCTAGGTCACTTTCAACTCTTTCAGAAAATACCTATTTGCCTTTTTTATAAAGAACCCAGAAGACTGCACTTCTAGTAGAGTTTGGAAGATTGTGTTTTCTAAACTTATCAGAATATTTGTATTTCTATGATTTCCATGATATTAGAAACACAAAATTAATGAAATAATCTTGAAATCGCTCATTTTTCAATATTAATGTAATCCATGTAAACTGCGCCATATAAGCTTTAGTAAACCATTTCAAAATTAAACAACTATCTTCATTTCCATGGGGCTCATTGAGTATCAAGTTGTCTTACCTGGGATTTTTATTGTTCAAACTGAGGGCAATCTCATTAACAGCGTGAGGATGTGACATAACCAAATTGAATCCATACTGGAAGGGAAGAGGATTTATATAAATATTAGAAGTTATAAGAAACAGCCAACTAAACAGATAGCTTTATTTAAGATGTAACACACATAACAGTATATAAAGTACCAAGGGTGCTTTTTCAAAAGAAAATTGGACTTTGTTTTTCCTTGAAGATGTTTTGCTTCTCATCCAAGAAGCTTCTTCAGTTCTGAGTGTCAGAACTGAAAAAGCTTCTAGGATAAGAAGGGAAATGTCTTCAAGGAAAAATAAAGTGCAGTTGCCTTTTGAAAAAGCATATTTGGGACAACGATGACCTGGATGACTGAGAATCTCCATAAACACATATATAGACAAAGGTGGTTAAAAAAAAGAGAGAAGTGAGAATTGTAAACAACAGATAACAGTATATGAAGCACTGTGCAAATGTGTTTGAAACAAGGATGATTTGCAACAATAAAAAGGTATAGAGATACAGAGAAAGGTGTTTATGTAAAGTAGATTTAATCATTTTCTTTTTTTGACCCTTGTGTCGTCGTCACCATCATCATCATCATCATTGATCATCGCACAGTTGGCCAGATATTCAGACTGGATTTGGCATTTTTATCTACCTATCGAGTTGTTGTTGTTGTTATTACTATTACTATTACTATTACTATTACTATTACTACTACTACTACTACTATTATTATTATTATTATTATTATTATTATTATTATTATTATTATTATTATTATTATTATTATTATTATTATTATTATTATTATTATTATTATTATTATTCCTGTAAATTAATATTTTTCTGTACTCTGCATTAAGCTAATTATCCTGAAAAGGGATGTCATGATGAGTAGGCAGGCACAGGGCTTTTTTTGTCATAGAACGCCCAGAACAGAGTTCCAGCACCTTTTTTGGATGGAACCTTGTAGGGTAGGCAAGGTGGGTTGTATGACGTGTGTGAGTTCCGCACCTTTTTTTTTTTTTTTTTTACAAAAAAAGCACTGGGTAGGCATATATGTTTTTTAAAAAGACATTCCATGTAAATAAATTATTAAGTCCTTTAAAATATCACATATAGCATAGCTTTGTTACACATAAATCTGATGCATAGTTAGATAGCTACAAATACTCAAACAGAATACTTGGATAACAGGGAGGGAGAAGTAAAAAAGAAAAGTATATTAATTTAACAAAGAGGAGTCATACCAATTGCACTGCAACTCACCACCCAGATATCTCTTTGGAAATACCCACTATTTAGGAATGGTGTCCCCCATCTTCTGACACTCCATTTTCAAGTATATTCTTTAGACAGAATGGAACTTTTAAGGCATAGCTAAGTGAAATTCTTTACTGGTACTGACATTAGAGGTTAGGTCCAGTCAAGATACTACACTGCTTGGAGAGCCAAAAACAACTGAGGTTAAGTGCCAAGCTTGGGGCTAAAAATGACCAGCAGGAGGTGCTGTGCCAGCAGAAGTAACAATAGGGTACTTTATTTTCTCTTCCTGCCCCCCCAAAATCTCTCAGGTGTTCAAGCCAAAAGTTCTCCTGGGGCAAAAGCAAATTATAAATGTAATAAAATGCATACACAAATTTAAAATCATTTATTCTATTAGGGTAGAGTCCAAGTTTCCTGTAAATTCACCACAGCCAAGCACCCCCAAAACCCCTATCCCAGCTCAAAGCCAGCACTCCTAAGGGTCAGGCCAGCGATACCTGATAGTTCATGATGGCTCGCAAACACAAGATGCACACGTGCACATCATCTTTCTGGCTCACCAGCCGTGAGTTCTTCAGAGCTTTTCTGCTGGGAAGTGTGGTGTATCTGGCAAAGAGAAGAGAGCCCTAGATTTAGCAAGAAGCAGTAACCTCCCCAAAAGAATGCTGTCACTTGCCAAGGATGAGGTCACAGCCACAGCTAAGAAGGAACACTGGAATTAGAACCACTGGCTTCTGTCAGGAGATTTGTCCAAGATGTATGCTTTCCTTCAGGAACAAAAAAAGGCTGGGTGGCCTCAGTACCTTACTTGCAATCTGATAGCTGTTTTAAAGACAGAAGGCTCCTAGAATTGCCAATCAGAAGACATTCTGCAGTTATCCCCTCTTTTCCTGTTTTGCAGATCTTGGTAGACAGAGAGGTTTGGGGCATGAGGGAAATTAAATAAATGGTAGATATATACATATACATATATACATATATACATATATACATATATACATATATACATATATATATACACACACACACACACACACACACACACACACACACACACACACACACATTTCTGGGAATATATATATATATACATATTTCTGAGAATATATATATATATTTCTGGGAAGCAACTTCAAGTCATTCAGGGGATTTTCCACATGTTTTATTTCCCTAGTATCATTATCTGTTTCTGTCAAAAACAAAACTTAAAACATCCCAAAATGTTACTTTAGCAAGATGAAGGCACGTGGTTTTTTAACAGCCTAAATCAGGAAAACCCAAACCAAAGCAATTAAGCAAAGCAATTAAAATGTTTTTAAAAAACCAAGACAGCAAATTAGACTTTTGTTGATGGGAAATAATCCAAATTTGGAAGAAAATAATGTCTTCCGTGAGAGAGAAACTAGTAAGTTCTCAAAAATGTGGCATGTGATCTAAACATTTGAGCGGCAGAGAGAAACTAGAGGTGAAAGCTTCAGATGTCATTGTCAGAAAAGAATGTTCAGCTAAGAGAGGACATCTGCAAAAGCTATGATAAAGTTTAGTTCTTCTCCTCAAATGTTCCAA